GATACAAACGCAAATCCATTCAAAAATAACTCTTCTTACCCAATTTTCCAAGCTAAACACGAATCTGAACTCAATTCCTGTGATTTCTAAAGATATAATATCACTGTGAGAGTAGAGTCAGTGGTCACCGTATAGGGTCGCATACAGTATGTTCCATGCTAACTTAGCACGTCTGTATTTTCTCCTTGCAATTTAGTGATAAAAAACACAGTGAATATACCTTTTCGCTTTTTGAAGTACACATAACACTCGGATTTAAATCCGAGGTTTTCGCATTTATTAGTATGTGGATATGGTATGTTATAGTTGTTTACAATCATAATAATCATAATGTCGTATCAAGTTAATTGAAAACTCTTCAAATTATACTTAAATATTCAAATTTATTTTGATTTTAATCAATTATTATTCTCAACTCAGGTAGGATCTATAGAATAAACTCGTGTTAGTCAAACATAAAAAACAAGAACTTTTTTCACTTATATCTTTTTCTCAAACAATAGCATATTCAACATATCAAAGTTAATTTATTGAAATAAATCGGCAAGAAGATATTTTAACAAATAAAATGAATGATGAATTAGAGTCAACAACAATGATTAATAACGAAAAGCGAACATCAACTGCTAAACTTGTTAATCAATTATATTTTTTTTCTGATTAGATATATAGTAAATATAAATGATACGACATTTATGAATACTTTGATCTACTGGGTTATCCTACTGAAAGTATGTTTAGTTTTTTATTTACGTTTCATTTCAGTAAAAATAGATTTATTTTATTATCTGAAATCATTTCCAATATTGAAACAATCTATAAAAATGAATGCTAGCTATGCTTTTGGTTGAAAGTATTTCTCCAGTTATGAAGAATGCTTGAAAACTAGTGGCATAACGAGGATTATAATAGTAGAAGGGTTAAGATGAATGGGACGAATCTGATGAAGCGGTTTGTAGCACAGTTTAGTTAACGTCGCTTCAGTTGGTTAGGGTCTCCAAGCTTTAGAAAGCATCATCTAACAGATACGAAAATTTCACTATATATTTTAACAGTTCCAGTCCTATTCTTAGCTTCAAATTCTTTGAAATCACCATACTCTAATCCGAAACGAACAAAAGATTGGAATTTTGTTTTAACTCAAAAAGATATCACATAGAATAATTCACTAAAGAAATTAGACATATAAAAGTTTTCGAGCCCCATAGGCTGCATATATATATTTATAAGTACATCAGAGATTGACATTATACAATCATACAATTATCTCAAAGACAAAGTTCTAAATTGAAATATGAGTTCAATATATATTATACTTAGTAAGAAAGAGATGTTCATGTCTTCAGTATGATATGAAATCAGTTGTATCTTTTGAGAAATTTTTCGTTAGTCTTTGAAGATATCTGATTAAATATAATTTTGCAATTGATATGGGATTCTTTTATCTTTACATGAATATGTTGATCCACATTTATGTGATTCGTGCGCAAATTTACTTGCTAAGTTAATTCAAACACCATTTCACCTTTTAACATTATCATCATTATCAAATTTATTTAATAATTCTTTTATTAATTAATATTCATTGGTATCAATTGATTCACAAGACAGTTCAAGATTAGGCTAGAAATTTAGCCTTCTCTTGTTTTTTCTTTAAAAAATATTCAATTAGATATATTAGCTAAATTAATCTTTACATTTCGATTGTCTTTATGATAAAAATGCGGGTATTAAACATGTTTCATTAAATGCTTTACGACCATTATTACTGGTTTTATTCATTAATAGTCATGGATTTACAATCCTAGAAATTGAATTATTGAACGATTCTATTCAACATAGTATAAGTTCTTATATTCTTCCTAAAGTAGATAAAAGATATTTATGGCTATAATGATTTTTCTTTTGTATATAAACTCAAGTTTTAGATGACAACGATTTTTGAATATTAACTTATCTTGAACAGCAACAATAATTAAAGAAAAATACTAAATTTTTCAATAAGAGTAATTGTATAGAAGAGAAAAAATAGCTTATTTTTTGTTTCGCTTTTATTTGGAATCGATCATGACTTGATTGTTGTGTGAATATTATTTTTCCATGTCTTACTTATGATGATACAGGCGTTTGTCAAGCGGCTGTTTCGACTTTTGCTAAGTATCTATTTTGTACAACTGTTAACTAGGTAGTTACTTTTTCGACTTTGAATGCATAAGTCGATTTTGTTGCAGTAAGTTAGTCATTAGCTATTTTTTGATTTTAAGGTTCGTTGGTCCCAGTTCATTTTTATCATGTCAATGATTAATACATTATTTACTTACATGTACTAATTTTTCTTGTCGATGGATATATAAAATTCATCATTTATTACGACGATCAAATACTTCTGTAATAATATCAAATGATGAAGTACAAGATGCATCTAATCGTGTTTATCAGCATTACGATTTGATTGTTTCGATCAAGCATAAACTCGAATACAAATTAGTTTGTTATTTTCGTCTTTTATTAGGTCAATTATTGTTCTTTTTTCTAGGTTGGATATTTGGAAGGTATTAATACTCTTTCTAATGTTTTAAGATGAACAGCAATTTGATCATTTTTTCATAATCAATATGATGATGTTCGTTTAATTATATATTTTTTAGAATATCCATTTATATTACATAATCTTAATAATTTACAACTGTTACTCGACATTATTAATTTAACCTAATTAAGTAAAGAAGAAAAAAATTTATTATATTTGTATTGAATTCTTTCTTTTTATTTGAAGAATATATGTGATCATATCTCGTCCGAACGAATTCATTTATTTTTTCTTTTTAAAGAGAATGATAAAGATTCATCAACAACATCAAATACAACAAACACACATAATGATAAAAAGAAAGTTAATCGTAAACAATAAGACGCTTTTGGAAATAATTCAATAATGATAAAATCATTTGAATTAATATGTTCATCATATCAAATACATAGAAGTTTTTTTTTTTTTAAATTCATCTGAAAATGATCGTTTTCGACAATTGATTTCAACAATATAATTGTATATAAAATCAGTTTTAAGTCTTATTTCTACACAAGTTAAATCAAAATTCAATGTTGATAAAATAAAAACTATTCAATCTATACAAGAAATAATTTCTTCTAGATAGTAAATATTTATTGTAATGAAAATTTTAATGATTAATCTTTTTTATTTATTGGTTAAGCTGAAACATTGATGATGTTGTATTGGATCTGAAATTTATCTACGAACACAACTTTAGATGGGCATCTTATAATTAAGGTTTCTGGAAGCATCTTTTCCAGAGAAGAAAAATTTCAATACACGGATGTCATACTAACAGAAAAACTGATTTTGCAAATGTCGACGATTTTAATTGGAGTAGCTTATTGTGAAAGTGTCAGATTTTTTGATTTAGTTCTATCTAGAAATT